TTTTGAGAAAATTGCAATTTTCAGATTTTTCCCTTTACTTACACTATAAAACCCACTTTCGTGCCAAGTTTCACGTTTCTACCTATATAAGTGTTTTATAATTTTGATAATGAGTGAGTCAGTCAGTCAGTAACAAAAATTCAAATTTTGAAATCCTCCCATTTTGAAAGAGCTGAATATTAAAGGCTCATATTTTTACAGTGTCTTAAGCTACATAAGTTTAATCTATGTTTCAAATTTCAAAAGCTTACCTTAAGAAGTAGCAGAGATATGAGAGTTAGAAATACCGGGTGAATTGGTTCGTGTAAAGATACACTGGCATTGCTAGAACTTGGCCGGCGCACTGCTGTGCGCTCAGATATATGTAATAAACCGTCATGGTTTTCAAGCATTAATCCTAGCAATCGCTGATACAAAAATCTCCTAATAATTGCTTGGTTTCTCTCATGGCTGTTTGCACCAACTACTTTAAAGTTCAAGAGTAGTTGACATAAACGGCCATATTATACTGCATTTTCATTATCCGTTTATCGATAAACTTGTACGGCTCTTACACAATAATCGATATTCAGAGTAGGTACTTTTAAAGTTTACAATTTGTTTAAATAAACTTTAAACGGTAAAATAACGAGAGCCCAGATTAACTTTTGCAGTTTACAAAACAACATGTTTTTTTCTCATGTAGCTGCATAATATCATAACCCACCGCCATAACTTTTGACCGCCGAACCGTTTTCTTTTATCGGCGAACCGCAAGTATTAGCTCTCTGTAGGTCGATAACGGCCGGCATTTTATAGCGTACGCACAAGGGAAGTAAAAGTAAGCACACCAATTTGCCGTCCAATATCCGGAACGGGCGCGCGCAAGAAGAAAACAATAACGACATTTTTGTTTAGGAGAAGACCAATTTTGACAAATATTTGAAATAACCCACCGGTATGGCTATTCACTGTCCGGCGTTCGACGGCGATTGATATTTGTTTTTTTTTTATACTTTTTATTTTTTGTCACGACTCATATCTGCCATGACCGGTAGAAGGCGATCGCAGACATCGCGTTGACGACATATTTATGTCTATACTATTATGACCCGTCCAAGACGACCGCGCTATAACAATAATAATAATATGTATGTGTGTCTGGAAACCACCTTTGGTATGCAAAACGCGTAGTCATCATCGTCTTATGCTTAGAGGCGACGAAGAATGATTTCTCTCGACGTGCGCGCGACATCACAACATCGGTTTTCTACTGTTATTATAATTGCGTGTCCGTGAGTCGGAATTCTTAACCGACCACATCTTCGACAAGCACCTGGCAGCTATGTAGTACTTAACCGAAACGTTTTGAAAATATATAAAAATTGTCGTCCACTGTTTGAGTCGCCAAAATCCATGTATAGTATACACTAGAGGTCCCTATTACAACAGATAGTTCTAACTAATCGTAAGTATTAAACACAGAAGGGGGTATAGGGACCATATCTAGAAAACGCGGTTTTCGTACCGACCTTGCTGAAATTTTCCCCAACCAAAGTTAGTGATTTACCGGCTACTAAGACGTGTTACCGGCTAAGTAGCGAATTTTTATTTTACAAACTCCCGACGGCGTTACTAAACGCGTCCAGGTGTAATCGTACAATCCATATTTTCACAAACACTGATGCGCTTATCAATTATTCACAGCACACCGTAGGACCGCTATGGGACAGCCCATGGCGCATTCGTTAAAATTGACTTTTCTTAGTGCGTACCCGCGGTGTTGTTCAGTATTCACGGCGGCCACAAATGTATTGGCCGGTACGATAATAGTAATAATAAGTTACATAAATATTTTCATAACGCAGTGTAACAATTATTATTGTCAAATCGAGAATTAGTCACGCCGGGGACAGCTTGATTTTTACAGCCGTACATCTACAAACACATTGGCGCGCGCTAATCGGATTGCTATGCTATTTTAGCAGCTTAAAAATAATATCACACGGCGATGATTACGTGGATGAATTTTTCCATTACATAAAGTATTAGTACGTGATAGACTAGTGATACCGACGACGTCGCACAGCAAAACCTCAACAACTGGAATATACCTATGAAGTGTAATAATTGTCAAAACAATTCAGAATATATCCGATATCCGTGGCCGTAGTGAACCACCGATTTTAGAAATTACCTTGATTTTGTCTTTTAAAGTCAAATTGTTTTGTTCGCAAGCAAAAATCAACAAAGTAATAGGCACTATTCGACACATTCATATTCATAAGGTGTTTTTTAGGGCACCGGGTTATACATCCGTCCAGCGGCCGTGGGCGACCGTTTCGCGAAATCCTCAAGTCTTATAACGATTCGGTTCCTTTTCCGCCACCGTCGTGGACCGCAGCTTTCTATTGTCGGCGATTACTATTATTATTATTATAAATTTCGCCGGCCGACCGGTCCAGACGTTTGCGGGCAATCCCACGAGCCCCGGGGCTTCCGTACACTGTCAAACGTTATAGTATTTGGAGTGAACATTGTATATAATATGTATAACGGTAATATTATGCGCAGCGAAACAGGTACAACAGGGCAGGCAACGGGGAGTGATTTTTCGACCGGAAAGAACGTGACCTGATACTGCCCGAGGGACATTTTGCCGAGGACGGCAGCAATATCCCGGTAGATCCATCCCGATTGTTGATAATGATTTAGATAACATAGGCAAAATTAGCTGTTATGTTAGAGCCCACGCCACGGTGCCCACTTGTCTAGGGTTTACGATGTAAGACGGACAGCAACAGTTGATGCGGTGCATAAAAAAATAATATAACGAATAAAACGTTTATGCAAATAAATATAAAATTACATTAATGACGATAATAATAATATTTAAAAGCGGTTAAATCGTAAATTAGTCGGGCACTAGACCGTATGCAAATTTCACTTCCTCGTAAACCTAAATCACGTTTTATTACCGTTCGTTATTGTCTTGAGCACTTATAATAATATATAATTATCTGTCCAATCGGCCAACGGCGTTAAACAGCAGTGTTTGAGTAAAACAAAATTCGTTTTACAATCTTTCATACGTACTAGTGACGGTAAGCAATGTGAAAAACTATCTATCCTAAGGTCATTTACCGTCGACCGCCGGTTTTGCTATCCGTTCTACAGTGTTTTTAATACACTTAAATAAACAAGAAGTATACCTACATAATATATTTACTACTAGGTACTAGGTACATGTTACTACTAATAATATGTAATAACTAATGACAATAGGAAAAACGGTCAACGCTGTACAGTATGAACAAGTAGCAATTTATACATATATAATAACAATAATAATTTCACGACAATGATAATAATATATTATACTATAATGTGTATTAGTAAAACAAATTGTGTTTTTGACTGTATTTCTGAATAGACAACCACACATAAGCAATTTGTTTGCGATTTATCAACCGTTACTGATCATATTATTATTGTAGCACTGCTGGTCGTTTGTTGATCTTCCAGCGTGTAAATAAAGTAGTTTTACTACCTATGCATAATATTGGCCTACTCGAACAATCATCACAACGACCGTATCAAACGCAAACAAGATTTCGTCTCGAACCATTGAAATTCTATACTCGACTGTTAATAATAACAATAATCATAATAATAAAAATATTATAATATTTAGCCATGCTCGATACGTATTTGATTTGTATTATTGTAATTATTTTAATGATTTTGTGTAACGCTTGTCAACCGGCACAAGTGTGTGATAGAAATAAGTGCCTCCGTAAAAGGATAAGTCACGCTCGGTGATGAAAACGCATGTATAGGTCCGCGAGATTATAATTATAGAGGTACGTTTACTTTCAAATGCGAGTATAGGTAGAAATAATAACAATAAAATGTATACGACCGGTTCAAGTAGGGAAAAATTATATTTAAAAATTGAAACTTAATATTGTGTTTCTGTTTTATTGTTCATTTTATTTTTACGTTCAACGAAACGACGCAGTTTAAATAACAGCTTTAACAACATGTTTATAGTATAGAAAGAATTCAATTTAAACTAATCTAATTATCTTGACATCCTCTACAGTATTATCCGTGCGTTTAGATCGTACCAATCTCGCATTTAACAGCTTTTGACAGACGGACATTATTTAGTCACATAATATAAATCCCCATAAACGTCCGAGTTTTCACAAATTCACTGATAATGGGAAACGAAAACAGGGCCATATATTTTGAGACGAAATGTATAGGCTATATTTGACGAACATTGTTTTAAGCGGTATTTCATATAGTTCAACTTGCTTAAGAATAAATAGCCTTGTTTGTTCCTATTACGTTGTTTTAAATGTCTTTCGTAGAATCTACTGAACGGATTTTAACATTTTATTTGAACAAATTTATAAGAAAAGTATTTAAACTCGTTTTGATTTTTATCTAGAAACTGAGAATAGGTACTTTTTTAATGCGTGGTTGAAAATGATCAGACAAACGTTCAAAGATTATTGTAATAATTTGAGAAGATTTTATCTGTGGCATTTAGGCACCGCATTGATAATCGTTGATGATATGCTGACTTAAGATTATTCTCATAAACCTCACTGACTAAAATGATAGAATGTCGAATTGTCAATTTTCTCTACAACTGATACCACTCGTGTTTGTGTTGTTCAAAACTTCTTACGTCGCGTCGAATCGAGTAACTGTTTCGCAGCTATTAAGGAAAACGCTCGTAAATGACAATTGCAAGATTCCATTTTTGGTCGCTATCTTTTTTGGACCATCCATTAAACCTAGATGTCTGAACTTTGTACAGCTTATGCGGCCGCCTGTATTCGATATGTGGTAAAAATTTGGACTTTCTAGCTCAAGAATTGTAGAAGTTTGTGTACATTGATATCTTTCAGGTTTTATCGGCGCCTAACTATATTATACGTATTGTTTTGGTTAATTAGAAGCCGTCGTTCTAGTACAGGCAAACATTTAAAAAAAAATTTCAATACCTGGGTCATGCGAAAATCCATGGTGTGTATCCCGTGTATGTACTTTTCGAGAGGGCTGGACCCGATTGAGTCGTTCAGTGCAAAACGCGAACAATTACAATACCGTCCATTCGCGTGTAAATTAAATTTTTAAAAAATAATAATTATAACACTTTCGGCAGAGAAAACAAGTATAATATATGATTGATTTTTTAATTTTCAAAAAACACCCGTCGAAACAATATGATGTCGTTCGGTAAAAAAACGCGGTCCGCCGGTCATCGCGGCCCAAGACAAAATGAACCGGACAACACGGTCGCGGTGGCCATATATACGACTTAACGAAAACCGTGTGCGGCCGAAAAGGAGGGGAGGGCACACAGTCGTAAGGGGTAGTGAAGGATCGTCATCGCGGGCGAAAGAGAAAGTACAAGACGGCGGAGAAGAACAAGAAGAAAGCACCGGGCGGCCTTCGTAGAAGTGCGCCGCCGACCTTGAACTAGACGACGACGCCGGCCGTATGTTTACTATACACCACCTTTGAAGATTGTGTTCTCAGAGCGTCTAAAAAATAAGAAAAAAAGCGGTTTTCTCGGGTTTTTTTTATAGTAACGCTTCTGGAATCGAATTATGAAATGATATGTGTATGGTTTGTGTGGATCTCGATAAGTTAATCACGGTCTATGGTTTTTTATTATAAATCCGTTTTTGATGCACTTCACATTAGTGCCAATCGAATGGTTAACCCATTTATCGTGTACAACGTTCACACCCGAGTTTTATTTAATGTCAATCAAGTTAATGCACAGTTGATTATATTTTTTCATTTTTAGTATAAATTTATAACAATTTAAAAAAAAGCTCCAAATCAACAATAAAGAGTTAAGCCGCCAACATAAAATTTGAAAAAAAATAGAGGATTCCTATTTTGATGGGTATTTTTTTTTTTAACCAATGAAAATACTCAAATCGTTTCAATGTGATCCTTATGTCATGTAACTGTGGACTCCGTTCACGGATGTAAATATATTAAATTTAATAGTAATTTTCTCTCATCCCGCAGTGAACTAGCTACGCATTTTTTCATAGGAAAATGTTTTTACTAACTGCTACCATAAATATTGTGCTTAAGGATCGGTTAACCTTATGTTTTCTTATTGCCTTTCCAACGAAGGAAACGCGTAATGTGCATATGTATAATCTTATGGTTTTACTCGAGTACAAGATAATCTTGTCGGATGGTAGATACCTATATAGTCTCAAAAGATGAAGGTATTTTTTAATTTGTATCTATACGATATGGAATACAATTACATTTACCGGTTGCCTTCCAAACGTCGTAGGAGTAATTCTATAAGAAAAAGATAATCCTAAATAATAATACACTATATAGTATGTCTTATGAGTTAAAACTGTATAGTTCTTCAGGAAATTCTTCCTAATAAATAAATCAGATAAATCAATGCAATTGTTGTAGTGGCTTTTGTGTTTAATAAAATACTCATGTCTCGAGAAACATAATATTTATATATATATAAATGCAAGGGCTATTAAATATATTATTATTTATGAAAGTTATCGTTTATTTTTTTATGTAGACATCCTTTCCATAGCCAGTCCATCACATTCTTAACTCATTAATTCATTATCCTTTCTAGTTAAAATACTACAATATAATGTGTGTACAGTTCATCGGTGCTCACTTTCTACATGATAAATCGTAGACCCTCAGTATGGTTAATATGTTTTTACATCATTGTTTAGAAATAATGATGTTTTATTTTGCTGTACTATAATAATAATATGATACTGTAGTTAATTACTCTGTCAGCTAAAGTTCCTTAAAAAATAAATGATCACGTTGTTCTCAGTTTAAACAAAAAGTTGACTTTTATTCGTCAATTAAAGTATATATAAAAAAAATACTATAAAAATTCCTAAGTACTAAAATTTGTTAAAGTGATATGTAAACCATTTTACTGAAAAACAAAATTATATTTTTTCATATAAATTATATTATAATTAAGTAGCTTAAAATTATTTATTAAAATAAAATAGTATAAATAAGTCTATATAATCAATATAATTACTCATTTAAAATTATATTTTTTTATAAACTATATTATATTTAAACTATATTTTCAATATGTTCTTATGGGTGATGTTAGTTAGTTATTTTTAAATATTTCTTTCAATATCTGTAAAACAAGTACAGTGAGAAAAATGTTTCATGACAGATATACTTCAGAAAATATGTCACTTGTGACCTGTTTGGTATAATCATCACCTTAGGTTGTGCTCGTATTTATTAAAACAAAACTAAAAACTTTTTAAATAACAAATAATCAAAGATATAATAATTTTTCTTGTTATCGAGAACAGTCACTAACCATATAAATTAAATACGCGCAAATAATGTATAATATTATTTCGGTTAGTCATGAAATAATTGCATTTCGGTGTTTGAAAAAAATATTTGCTACTGGGAATTTTCTCCTACCTAAATGTCATTTTGACTGTCCTTGAAGTACTATCGTCTACAGTTAATATTATGATGCATTCCCACGAAATCGTTTCACACTGTAGTACCTACTCTGAAATATTAATTAATTTAAAACGTGTAATCAAAAATATGTATTCACTTTCTAAATATATGCTGCTTAATCATTACGGATCAAAGAGGAGAATATTGTATGGCGCTCACTTAAATAGGTTTTAGCTCTTGAATTTTTAACAAATACAGATTCGTTTGGTACCAACGTATCTTCATCAACATCACTTATAATGTCGCCTAACATGTTCAATGCTTTCATGTAGTAACTGATGTGTCAATAATGATAGAAGGGCTAGCTCCTACGCTTTCTAACCATATCATATTATGATCGCATCGGACAGGTATTGAGAAGTTTTCGGTGTAAATTCGTTTACACTCCACGCCAAAACGTTTCAATATTAATTAGTTTTTTAAGAAGAATTGCTAGAATTTTCACACGGTAAACATATTTCTCACACTCTTAAAATCTATAATAAAATATTAAAACAACATGTTTTTGTGTGTATTTATTGGTTGTATAAGTATAAAACAAATTAATAATAATGGTTTTCCACGTTAGGTTTAATTGTGTTTATGTACGTTTCTATTTACTTGCACTAAATGTACAGATAAATATACATTATAAAATTTATAGTAAAAACAACAAAAAACATAGAAAATAGTATATATTTAGTTACGGTCTACGAGTTTGTAACGATATCGCTGTTTTAATTAATTCATTTGATTTCAAACAGAAATTAACCCATATAGTTACAATAAAGATAGTAATATAATACTTGACGACGATAATTCATTGATTAAGGAAACTTCTAAGCTATACTTGTACGCAGTAAATGCCAAGTAAGTTAAATTGCATCAACCAGTATCATCAATCTCTTGAATACAAATTATTAAAACGTGTAAAAAAAATTGTTATAATACAAATAATAAAAATTATTTGTTTATTTGAATCTATATAGTATATATTTATTAATTAATAACATGATGTACTCGTGTAAGTATAATACTCGTTAAGTATGCCTGCAGCAAGTAAAATATTTCAAAAGATAACCAAAGTTCTCATCAAAACACATGTCTCATGATAAATTATACAACTACTCTATCAAATGAACACTTCTATAAACAACTATTATTTATTATTTAAATGCGAAAGCGAACCATGTTAAAATCATCATTACCATAATCATAGTATATAATAATCTAGTATATTTGTAATTAATCACATGTGGTTGTCCGCCTATTATGAAACGAGCGATACCTATCAATAGTGAAACAAAATATTCTAGTTTATCCGGTTTCATAAGTAATACCCACTGCTAAATTAATAACGAACTATTTCATTGACTTAGTTACGATTCGAGAGTGAATTGAAGTTAGGTATTTATTTTTAGGTAGTTATTTTCTTCATTCATATAATACAAGATACCGCTGCACGCATATTATTATAAACGCGCCTATTGGAAACGAGATAATATGATAAACCATCACAAAATATATAGTATCGATCATACATAGAGGTATCTAACCTATAAACGACTCAGGTAAACTTATTTTAAAAAAAAGTCCTAAATATTTTAAGACATATGCGTTTAAACTACAAATGAGATTCAACAATGTAGATATGCATACTATTAGTATTTTTTAGAATAGCCTGAAAACAATTTCAGCGCAATATACATTATTATATATCTCACGAGTAAAAATATTAACTTACAAAAAATAAAAACGTTATTTTCATTAGCCGAACTAACTGTAAGTATGTTATGTACCGATAAACAGCAATAATTAAGGGCAATTGCAATTTTGGAAATGCATTGACCATCCAGTATAAGTTATTCGTACGAATAAAATAGGTTCACTCGAATGTTTATACTTGTGAACATAAAACATTACTATATAGGTACCTAAACAGCAAAATAACTATCAACAGAAGTTAATAAAACTCAAATCTCTCCAACCAAAAATGATTTCTAACGGCTAGAAAAGCCGTATGCGTGCAGTCTTATTATATTATATATTATCTTCGAATTCAACGTTATTGTAATTTGATACTAAACAATCATAAAAAAATTTTTTTAAAAAACACAGGACACCGATCACACGCTGTTAAGATATATAAAGTAGATAACTTTTTAATACAACTTAATACGCGTACAACCATTGTTCTTTTAACCGAGTTTTGATAATAATCGAATTATTGAAAAATACACTTTCAACCAACGAGGTACATGATTTATTATATATATATTCAATTAACTTTTCAACAACACACACGCCCGGAATTATTGATTTTCTAAAGTAGGCGCTAAAAAGTGCTTGATTATTTTACGGCTATGGTTTCTTCATTAGTAGGTTTATTTAATGTATATATATATATGCATATATACATATGTATTACAAATGTATACGCATACTTAAACGAAAACTCGTGATAAACAGTGTAAATTTTAATATCATACAATTTGAAAGTCTTCTGTGGACGCTTGTTTGTTTGTAAGTCATTTGTCACTGTGCAACGTTACGTCTCATAAACGAAAATGCAAAGAACTTTGTATTGCCATTAACAATACTAATAAATGACGATGGCAGTACTATTTGTTATTATTAATACACGACATGTTTATTTGTTCAGTCTGTGCATCTATATGTAAATATGTATTGGAGTACTTATTGTAGACAAATGACTCAATAAAAATATTTTTGATAAATCGTATTGCGAGGGTATGCAAATATAAAAAC